GCCCCCCCCTGAACCCGGTGGGCAGAGAACTCCTTAAGGGCTTCCTTTTTCGGGGGATTTGGGGCAATCCCCATCCCCGGGGTTTGGGCTTCTTTCCATTCCAAGTTTGGGGTGGGGCACGGGGGCATCCGGGGTTAACCCTGCAGAGAGAGCACGCAGGTTTCCGCGGGGAGGGGGGGGGGGCACCCCCCCCCCCCCCCCCCCCTCTTCCCTCTCCTCCCCGCGTCTGTCTATTCGGGCGTGGGGCTGGGGCGGGCGGCGCGTGCCTGCAGTGAGACGGCGGCGCGAAGTTTGTTGTACAAGGTTCGTGCGGCAAGGGCTCGCGCTGCAGCCTGCAGTGTAATCGCGGCTCGGAGTCTGTTGTACCGGCCTCGCGCGGCACAGGCCCGCGCGGAGGCCTGCATCATTGTCGCTGCGCTATCGCGCTTGTGAAGGAGCTGCTTGTAGCGATCACGTTGGGCGGCGGCGCGGGCGCATGCCTGGATTTTGGTCGCAGCGTCGTAGTTGGCCTTCCGGCGGGCCAGCTCGCGCTGGGCAAGCGTGCAGCGCATGGCAGCGCCGAGGACGACGGCAGCCTTCCTCTCGAGCAGGTTGCGCTCGCGCTGCTTCCGCGCCTTGATCAGCGCCTGCACCTTTGCCGCCGCGCGCTGGCGCCACAGCTCGTCGACGTAGGCTCGCCGGAGCGCTCGGTACGCGAGGATGTGGTGGGTGGTGGGCAGGATCGTCGGCTTCCCCAGGCGCGCGCGCGCGCGCGAGGCCCACGCCATCAGCTTCTCGACGACGAAACGCTCCTTGTGCCAGAGCTTGAGCTTCCAGCGGAGGAGCGCCTCTTGCAGCAGCTGCTCGGCGCGCGTGGTGGCGCCGCGGAGCAGCTTGTTGAGCGCAACCGCACAACCGCCCTTGATGAAGAGCTTGGTCAGGCCGAGTCGGTACTCCTCGGGGTCGACGTCGAACGACTCGCAGATGGCGGCGGTGAAGTCGCGCGGCTCGCGCTCCGCCATAAACGAGTAAGACGCGACGCAGCTGGCGTAGCGCGCCACCACGTCCGTGTACAGGATGCGCGTCGGGAACATCGAGCGGATCATCTTGACGCACTGCAGCATGCCGCACGTCCGCAGCTGCTCGAGGATCAGCCGCTCGTCCGGCGCCCCGGGCTTGAGCCCCACGTTCGGCTTGATGGTGCGCACGAAGCCGGGGTCGGTCGAGGCGAGCTCGGCGAGCAAATCGGTGAGCGACGACCCAAACTTGGACGCCACGGAGCCTGCGGTGCGGCGGTGCGACGCAAGAGGCGGTCAGGCCGCGTCGCAGCCGGGCGTCCCGCCGGAGTGCAGGGGACGAGCACGCGGCGCCGGATGCGAGGCGCGGGGAGCGCACCGTACGACTTGCCCGAGCCCTTGGCTGCGCGGACCTCCGTCGCGTCGAGCTCGGAGGCTGGGAAGAGTTCGGGCAGGAGGGGATTGGTCGAGTCGACGAGCGCATGCGCCATCTCCTCGAAGATCGAGTCGCGGTTCTTCTCGATGAACTCTTGCGCGGTGTAGGTCACAGGCGCGACAAAGTGGGCGAGCGTGAAGTTGTTGCTCGGGTCGAAGCGTGCGCGCCCCTTCTGGTCGAGCTTGGCGAACTCGGCGGAGCAGATGGGGTTCTTCTGGTTGAGGAGGGTGCAGAAAGTCGAGTCCTTGCCGCGGTCGCCGAGCCAGCACTGCTCGTCCAGCAGGGGGAGCACTCCGTTCGGCAGGTCCTCGATGGCGGCCACGATCGGGCCGTTGTCGGGCACCTCGACGGCCGTCCACTCGATCTGCTCCGCCTCGTAGTGCGCCTTTGGAGGGCATCAGTGGTTAGGAAAGCATGCAAGAGAGAGGGGAGGGGAGCTGCGGCGGCGGCAGAGGGGGGGGGTGGGGGGGGGTGGAGGGAGGCCGGCAGAAGCGGTGGTCGCGGTGAGAGGCAGCAGGGGAGTGGGAGGCTGCATAAGTGAATGAGCCTGCTCGTAGTTGAAGACGGAGTCGAGGAAGAAGCGCTGCAGCTTCTCGTTGGCCAGGTTGATGAGCAGCTGCCGAGGGGGATTGGAGCGGTGAGGCAGGGGTCCCTTGCGCGATCGCGCGGGCGGGAGGCGAGAGGCCGGCGGTGGGATGCACCTGCTCGAGCGAGTTGGAGCTGAAGATCTCGAAGCCGAAGATGTCGAGGAGGCCGATCCACTTGCCGGCCACGCGCGAGCCGTCGGTGGGAGGCGCCGCGCCCGGCGGCGCCACGCACTCGTTGATGGACTTGACGATCCACGAGAAGAGGCGGTCGTACACGCGCTTGCTCAGCGCATCGCGCGCGCGGCCCGCCTGCTCGGGGTTGAGCGGCTTCTCGTACACGGACGCCCGCGCGCCCGCCTGGACGCGCCGCACGGTGAGGACCCGGCTGAGGCCGGTCATGCCCAGCAGCGCCTCCGCCTTTGCAATCACGTCCGGGTTCGACACCTTGGACGCGCGCTCGGCGTTGTTCTCATCGACGACCTCAAAGGTGACGTTGCCGAGGTTCAGGATGCCGGCAAGGATGGAGAACACGTCGTCTGGCCGGAGGCCGAGCGTCTGCATGGACGAGTGGGTCGCCTTGAACTCGTTCACGTCGTCGAGGCCCTCGCGCACGCCCGACCCCGCGCGCGTGAGGTAGTGGAAGCTCGCCGAGTCGCGCCCAAGGTGGAGCTTGGCGAGGGCGCCGTCGTCGAGCCCCGCGAGCAGCTGGTAGAAGATGTGGAAGTTGGTCTCGCCGGGCTGCTGCAGGGCGAGGCGCGACTTCTCGAGGAGGTAGGTGGAGATGTTGGCGCCCGAGATGCAGCCCGCGTCGTCAAAGAGCACGCGCATGAACTTGCCGAAGCGCGACGAGTTTGGGTTCATCACGGTGGTCGCGTTGCCGAACGCCTCAAAGACAGGCGTCGAGTCGAGCACGGTCTGCGCCATCGGCGAGCTCTCCGTGCCCTCCTTGCTCGCCCGCCAGACGAGGTACTTGAGGAGGTACTTGTTCGCCTCGGTCTTGCCCGCGCCAGAGATGCCCGTAACGACGATCGACTGGTTGCGGCCCGTCTCGCACAGGGTCTTGTACGCATTTGCGCCGACAGAGTAGATGTGCGGGTTGGGCGCGCCGAGCTCGTCCTCCTCGCGAGGCTTGGCAGCCTGCCGGCGGGGGAACGGAGGTGCGTCATCCGCGGCGACGTCCCGATTCGGCGGTGCGTCCGGGGCACCTTCATGCGCTCCGTCGAGTAGAGGCCGTCGATGGGCTTGCACGGGTTGAGCGACGTGACAATCGGTCCGCTGCAGCAGGCAGTGGGTGGTGGGCTGGCGGCCGTGGGTGGTATCGGGTGGTGTGTGAGGGCGTGCGCGGCAGGGACTCTGGAGCGGGCTCGCGCACGTGAAGGTGTAGATCTCGTCGCGGCGGTAGCGGAGGAGCGTGTTGTGCAGCAGCGTCGCCTCTGAGAGCTGGAGAAGATCGCAGTTGTCCGGCTCCGCCCGCTCCTCGCCGCCGCTCAGCTCAGCAGAGACGGCGTTGGCCACGTCAAGCTCCGACTCTGACACCGCGACCGTCTCACCTGAGCCCCAGTTGTCGAGCGCGATTTTGGCGGTGGTGCCATCCGCCTCGACGACAGTCCCGGCGAGGAAGGGTGGCTCTCTCGGGTCCGACGATTTGTTCTTGATCCACACGCGCTGACCCTCGGCCACGCCCTCGCTCGAGAGCAGGCTGGACGCCATCGGACGACGGTAAGGGTCACAGCGGCACACAGCGGCGGCGAGCGGCAAGACGCCTTCTCACTTTCCGGGTCTCAGCCGTCCGTCCAACGAGATTTTTCTTTTTTGAGAGGCCTTAATCAAATCAAAAAATTGTAAATCCTCGGATCCATAGGGAGAGCGAACCGCTTGGCTATCCTCCCTGGCACGCCGTCACACCAGCTCGGTCCCCGGCAGCAGCTGGACCGCCGTGATGCGCGCGCCTGCGGAGCGCGCACGCGAGGCGGGTGAGAGCCTCCGTGGCGCCTCCCTCTCGGCGGCGCGCTTGGACCAGGGCGGGGCGGCCCGCCTTCGGCTCGGAACTCGACCTCGCACCTCGCCACGCCTAAAGTCGCGCACAGCGGCGGCTCAGGGCGAAGTGCGCACCGGTGGGTCTCGCCTCGCCGCGCGCCGTCCCGCGCCTGCGTTGCTGAGCTTCTGCACGGTGAGCGCCGAGGCGTCGCCTCCGTCGAGCGTCGCGCGCTCGTCGAGCTGCGCGCGGAAGAGCTGCCGAAAGTAGTGCGAGTGGCCGACGACGGCGATGACGTTGTGCGGCGAGTAGCAGAGGCGCGCGCCGAGCTCCTCGATCCTACGGGCGCGTCAAAGACACGCTGTGGGCTAGAGCGGGGGTGCATGCAGATGTGACACACACAGTGGCGCGACGTGTGCCAGGTCGCGTCAGCAGAGGCCTCATATCTAGGTGTGTCGTGACCTCGCGTCCACGGAGGCCTCCGTCTCGCGGCTGCCGAGCCACCACTTCGCCTGCACCATCTCGAGGTCGAGAGGCACCTACTCGCCGGCCAGGGGAGGGGTGCGGGGCAGCGTCGGGTGGCCCCGCGCCATCTCCCTCGATCGACGCCCCGCACCTCCGCATCGCTCTCGGCCTATATCTCGGCATCCCTCGAGGCGCGCGCCTCGCAGAGCGGCGCCGCGCGCTCCGGCGCGTCGTCGTAGAGGGCGCGGAGGGTGGTGCGGACGCCGGCCTGCAGCTTGCCGCCGACCCACTTGCCAGACGAGTCCTTGCCCATCGCGTTCCTCTTCTCACGCAAGTTCGGGTCGAGGGTGACCACGCGCACGCGCGGGACCTCACCGGCCAGTAGCGGCGCCAGCCCAATCAGGCAGGTCTGCACGGCGCGGGTGAGTGGCGAGCAGAGCACCTGAGGGGGGCGGGGGGAGGGCGGAGGGCGGAGGGGAGGGCGGCGGTGGGATCAGTGGTGGGGATGGACGCGGTGGTGGGGAGGTGGTGGGGTTTGGGGGGGGGGAGGCGCGGGCCGGGCGGGGAGGGGGGCGGCGCCTGCGTCGACTCGAGCAGCGAGTCGCCGCCCGGCGTCGCACCCGCAGCGGCGGACAGTTGCGCGGCGAGGGCCTCGGCCTGCGCTCGCCCCTCGGCGGTGAGCGGGTGGTCCACGTCTGAGAGCATGCCGTAGACGTCCTTGTCGGCCTGTGCCTGCCGCATGAGGTGGCAGAGGGCGAGGCGTGATTGCGTGCTGGGGTGGGTGGGGAGGTTGGCGCGTTAGGAGAGTGGAGGGGGGAGGGTGGAGGGCACCTCGTTCCATAGCGACTCGCCGTGCCGTATCAAGTAGACCACCTTGCGGCGCGGGCCCCGCAGCATGCTCGGCGCGACGCGAGCGAGGGTGCAGGCGGGCGGGTGTCCCGGGGGCTGCAAGGCGCGGCGCAACGACGACAGGGAGAGCGAGCGGCGCGGCAGCTCGAGCAGGGCCTCCACGGAGCCGCCGCCGACCGGCAGATCTGCGACTGGGAGGACAGCGCGGCCGATAAAGTCGGGCCGCGAGCCGCTCAGCTTGGTGACGTCGTATGCGGCGCTCTCGTCGTGGTCATAAAAGTCCACCACCACCACCGCGCCCTCCTCCGCACACCCGAGCAGGCGGCTCGAGTTCCAAACGGGATTCGTGGCGTCGGCCTTGACTGGCCAGGTAACGCGTGGCGGCCGCGGCTCGCCGTCGACCTGCAAGAAGGCGACGGCGTAAATGTCGCTCGCCGAGAAGAGGTCCAGGCGCGGCATGTTGGACGCGCTCAGCAGCGTCAGCACGAGCTGGCTTCCATCAGCCTCGTCGTCTGAGCTCATCACTTCGCTCGTTTCGGTCTCAGGCGTTTCATTCGACCCGTCATGATAGCAGGCGGTCTGCGGCGGCAGCTTTGAGTTGCAGCAACCCATGGCCGGGCCTGCCTCGGTCGACACCTGGCACGGAGACGCTCCGCGGTTGCGCAACGGGGCCGCAGCCCCGGGGCCAACTGTACGTACGAGGAGCTGAACCCCCAGGGAGCTGATTACAAGAGGGATCGCTGGGAATTCTTATCTTTTTTGAGCACTGGATAGGGTCGATTCCGCATGGTACGGGACCCCTCGATCGTCTCGCCCTCCCTCACTGGTGTGTTCATTGGGGGGGGTCATAACAAACACGGTACAGGATCAATGACTGCACTCCAAGTGCTCCAAGGATCGAGGTGCACGCTGCCAAAGCAGTGTCGTCCCCCCTCTCCCCGACGGCGATGGCGGTGTGACCGATCGAGCTACAAGAGGAGCTTGTTCAGCAGGATCCGGGATAGTCAGATGCACTACCTCACTGGGCCTGAGACCACCACACGACCCTCCCATCACCGTCTCGGATTTATGTGGAGTCGAACCACTCCGGGATGGGCAAGCCCATCGATTGTCATTGATCCATCTGGTTAATTGTCAAAATTCCTCAAGAGGGGAGGGGGCTCTGACGGAGTGTGTGGTGGGAGAGGGCAGGGAATGAGCGCAGGGGGATTTCACCAAGATGCAAGAATAGTAAGAATGCTCACCCATTGAGGAGGAACTGCTCGGCCCACCCTGATCCTGCTGAACAAGCTCCTCTTGTAGCTCGATCGGTCACACCGCCATCACCGTCGGGGAGAGGCGGGACGACACTGCTCTGTGGCAGCGTGCACCTCGATCCTGTACCATGTTTGTTATGCCCCCCCCCAATGAACACACCAGTGAGGGAGGGCGAGACGATCGAGGGGTCCCGTACCATGCGGAATCGACCCTATCCAGTGCTCAAGTGCTCATATAAGGGTAACCCAGCGAAGCCCCGAAACCAGCTGAAGTGCGGACCTGCACACACGTATATGCCGCTCTCGGCACGGCAGAGGCGCGAGCGCCGCGCCGCGCCGCGCTGCCGAGGCTCAGCCAGGACGCGGCTCGCGGCAGCGCAAACCGCCCGGCGCCGAGCCGGTGCTACTGGGACCCGCGGCCGCCTCCGCTGCGCCTGCTTCCTCGCGCGCCGCTGGACGTCGGCCGAGAAGACCGCTTCCCTCTGGGACCCGACTCCGCGAAGATCGCGCGCGCGTCGTGAGTGGCGGCGCGCGCGCGATCTCTGTTCCCGGGCACGCCGGTCGCAGTGGCATGGGATCCCAGGCTCAAAACAGCGCTCCCGTCAACAGCGAGCGAGCGCCGCCTGCTCCTCCTCCCGCCGCCGCTCCGCTCGCCGAGACAACTCGGTGCCGCCGTTCTCGCCGCCGCCGCCGCCGCCGCTGCCGCCGCCCTCCATCTCGCGGCGCGTCCCTCTGATGGCGCGGGCGCCTCGCTCGCCGGCGCCTCGCCGCCGCCCCCCCTCTCGCCGCCGCTCCGCTCGTGGCCGCCGCCTCCCCTGTCAATCCCGCCGCCTCCCCTGTCAACCCGCCGCCCGCACCACCGCCGCCACCGGCGCCTGGCGCCTCGCCGCCGCCCGCCACCGCCCTCCCCCGCGCCGCTGAGCGGTGCCCAGGGGGCGAGCCCCCGCTGCGCAGCCTCACCGCAGTGCACTGCGCTCTCCGCGCCCCTGACGTCTGTGAGGAGGTGGTGTTGCACAGCATGGAGCGGCGAGCGTTTAGCGAGCCCCTCAGCTAGTAAATGAATAAAGCCCACATCTCCAGGAGAGATGCGACGGTGTATCATTCACTTTATGCCACCGTTGCATATCCATGGGCGACGCACGAACACAGAGGCACAGTGCGCACCCCGCCCCGCTCACAGGGCGTGCATCACACAGGCGTGGACTGTGTGACTGCTCGGGTTTCTTTCTGGGGACTCTTGACAGAGGTGTGCTAGTCGCTATAGTCGGACGGTTCCGGCGCGTCTGACTGATGGGCAATTCGGGCTCAAGTGAGGGCCGCGGTCGCGGTCGCGGCCAGCGCGCGGGGCCTGGCTAGGGCTGCCGGGAGTGATCTCGATCCACGTGCCGGAGCGCGCGTGGTGCTTGAGCAGCCGGGCGGTTGCCGCAGCCACCTCAAACGGCAGCTCGTCGAGCCACTCGCCAAAGGTGCCCTCCTCTTGCGCCGCAGCGAGGAATCGTTCACCTAGCTCCTGGGCCGTATGCGCGGCAAGCCGGGAAGAGTGCCTCGTTCTGGATCTCCTCCGGCGCCTCGGAGTTAGCCGCAGAGGGAGGAGCCGACGCAGAAGAGGCCCGCTTCGCAGGCGAGTAGGTAGCTGTGATCTGATCAAACGGAAGAGCACCTTCTTTTGCACCTCTAGGGCTGGGAATAGCCTCTCGAGGTGCAAGTGAAATGTATGGTGGCTTTTGTCATCCCTTCGGGGTTGAAGTGACTCGGTTTTCTTTTTTCAGCCAGCTGAAGCAAGGAGCAAGCCTCGCGCTAAGGGCGTCTCACTCCTTGACCAACATGTTTACTGCCATCTTCGTCGTTGGGTTCGCCACCCAGCCTGCCACGCTGGCCACGTTCGCCACCCAGCCTGCCACGGTGGCCACCGCGCCAGCTGACCAGGTCCTCCGACGGCCTGACACTCGCTTCGCTCGCAACATCACGGTCTTTCACGTCAATCAACATTCGTTTGGCGCCGTGCCGGTGAACATGAACACGGCTGACCTGACTGGCGACCTCTTCTTCGACCTCCTCGAGGTCCTCATCTCGCCCTTGCTGTGCCAGAATCACTCGCACAAGCTGCCCGGGCCCGACCCCTGCACCAACCCAGAGGCGATGGGCGCAGACCTCGTCGTCAACAAGGTGACGCTGGAGGTCGACTCGCGCTTCTCTGGATACGCCGCGTGCAACGTGTGCGTCGAAGGCCAAGATCCGTTTGGTGGATACTGCGAGGACGGCAAGTACATCTGCGACTGCCTCGCCACAGGCGGCGCTGCCAGCTGGCCGCCCAAGCTCCGTCCTTGCAACACAACCGTGGGTTTTGAGGAGGTCTACAGCCTGATGGGCAAGGGAATTGGGCACAAGGGGTGCCGCCGCTCGCCGCAGCTCCCGTCGCCCACGCCGGCCCAGTGCTACGTCGAAGGTGTTTTTGGCAAGCTCACCGCCGCGGACGGCGGCGCCTGGTACAGCAGCCTTGAGGCGGGCTTCTGCGGAGAGGAGGGCGGGGACTGCACCTGGCGCGTCGCGAGTGTGGACAAGATTGTGAGCCGGAGCTGCCACGTCCGCGTCTTTGGCGAGGAGGTGCAGAGGGCTGGCGCGCCCGAATGCCTCGACGCCTGCGGCAAGGACCGCACCAACGTCACCTCGCCCTGCTGGGTTTCCTGCCTCTACAAGGCTGCGCTCGGGCCAGACGCGGGCCACCCCGACGGCAAGGTGGGCGGCCTCTCCCTCGAGGCGCTCAAGCAGGCGTGGGCAAAACCCTTTCTGGGCGAGGAGTCGGGCGGGTGCCCCGCCCTGGAGGAATGGGCCGGCGGCCAGCGGCGGCCGCTGCTAAACTCGCTGCCTGTGCTGTCGCCGTGGGGAGGCCGCCCGCGGACGCTGCTACCGTCGCGGGCAGCCGGCACCCTGGTTGCGGCTCTCTGAGCGAGGGCCATCGGTCGCAGGCGTGGTGTACAGTATTACGTGCACAGAGCAGCTGAGAGAGCACCCCCAAGGGTGCCTGAGGTGAAATCCCGCCTGTGATGGAGGCTGGAGCGTGCCGCACACCTGTCTGTGTTTATCTAGTTGTCAGAACTCTGCGTGTTCTCTGGACTCTCATACGTAAACAGATGAAAGCGATCACGCATATAAATGTAATGGTAAACAGACCACAATATCCCTTGGCCAAAGTACATCTCCGGGCCACCGCAAATTTTGACATCGTTTGACGTCAGCAAATTTCCTGCAAATTTCGAGGGGCGGCCGCAAATTTTAAGGTAGATTTTGATTGTCAAAACGTGCCCGTCTTGGCAGTAATATCTCTCGAGGTCGAGCACACACAGCCGTCCCTTGAGTACTTTACGGCATCGGCTTTAGTCGCGTGCTGTGTGCATGTTGCAGCGCTCAACCAGTTGGCCAAAGTATACAGGTTTCGATCCGGGCCACCGCAAACTTTGATCAGCAAATTTCGAGGGGCGGCAGCAAATTTTAAGGTAGATTTTGATTGTCAAAACGTGTCCGTCTTGGCACAGGATAGAGCATATAGTCTTGGCACAGGATAGAGCATATAGGCGGCGAACACCCAGGTGCGCAGGGACATCTCGCGACTCTGCCCGCTCGCTCGACCCTTTTGCCGCGAGAGGGCGCCGACCGCGTGTAAGAGGTGGCTGGCGCCCTGAGGCGGCATTTGGTGGCGTGGCTGGGGAGTGCGGAACGCTACTGGCGGCGTGACAGGGCCTCTCTCCGCTGCGTGCGCCGCCCATCGGCACGCGGGTGCGCAGACATCGCGACTCTGGCCCGCTCGCTCGACCCTTTTGCCGCGAGAGGGCGCCGGCCACGTGTAAGTGGTGGCTGGCGGCCTGGCGCCCTGAGGCGGCATTTGGTGGGGTCAGCGTGCGGTGCTGAGTCTTACTCGTCGGCGCTGGGGCCAGATCCCAGCGCAGAACTCTGCAACGCTGGCATACAAACACAAGAAGACTAACCCTAACCCTAACCCTAACCCTAACCCTAACCCTGAACCAACCCTAGGTCAGCGTGCGGGGCTGAGTCTTAGTCGTCGGCGCTGTGGGGCCAGATCCCAGCGCAGAACCCTGCAACGCTGGCATATACAGACACAACAAGACTAACCCTGACCCTAACCCTCTAACCCTAACAACCCTAACCTAACCCACCCCCCAACTCCACCCCACCGCAGATTTGAAAGATCTTGTTGAAATCAGGCCTGGCCGCAATTTTTTTCAAAATTTTCGCAGGCGCTCCGCGCCTGCAGACTTTGAAATAAATTCGACAAAATTGGTACCTGGCCCAAAAATAGCCCTCGAGGTCGAGCACACACAATATCCGGGGAATTTTTAGTCCGTTCCCCCGAGAACGGAAAGAAGAACACAGCGCATGCATTCCGGCATGACAAAGGGACACTCTCGAGCGAGAAGCAGAAGCACACTTTCCAACGAGGATGGACAGCCTCCTCCGCTTCCACCATCCCTTCCTCCTCCATCCACCCCTTCGCCAACTCACCACCTGCGTGCGTGAGCCCCGTGAGCTCCCTCGCCACCGCCCGCCTCGCGTCCGCGACGCAGGAGGGCAGGCAAGGCTCGGCAACCGCTCACTCACTCCCCCAGTCAGTCCCATTCCAGCTTCCCCGCCTCCTCCACCTAGCGTGTCCGCGCCCGCACCGCCTCTTCCACAACCTCGCGGCGCGATGTGTCGAGAACTTGGAGCACTTGGAGTGCAATCAGTAACCGCACATCCAGGGCCGGGGAGCTCAGAAGCGCACCCAGCGGGCCGGATGATTGGCATCGGGTTGCGGGCAAGAGAGCCCTAGCCCCGGGGGTGCGCGTTCGCAGGGAAAGGGCCTTAAAGTAAGAGCCAGTTTTTGCCACTTCGGTTAGCTCTTGAGGGTCCGATATCACCGGCAACGCAGTGGCAAGCAAACCGTTAAATTTGCCGGCAGGTCTGATATTTAGGTCTCGGATTTCAAGATTAGAGACCCCTGGAGAGCTAACGAAGTGGCAAAAACAGGCTCTAAACACGGGTCTCCGAGGGTTAGTCCGCGCTCCAGGTTTCCCCTAGCAGCGGAGCGCCCCCTCTACTCGGAGCCAATAAACACCAGACGAGAACCCGGGTCTTTTTTCGCCGTGGTGCAGGAGCAGCCCGGGTTGTTGTGCCTTGCCTCTCGTGCCTCTCGTGTTTTCCTGTGCTGATGGCCACCACCTCGAGCTACACCGCGAGCGAGCTCGCGGGTTGGTGGGTATCCTACACGACGCCGGGGCTGTGCTGGCTGTGGGCCGAGGAGAGCGCCACGCAACTCAAGCAGACCACGCGCTGCTGCTGCTGCTTTGTGACCAACGAGGACACAATCACCGAGAGCGACGGCGCCTGGAGCTCCACCTTCACGCCGCTCACGATAGAGCGCGGCGCTTGCACGCTCACTGCCCAGGAGCAGAAGGGGCGGGGCATTGCTCGGGGCGTGTCGACCTTCAAAGCGTGCTGTTGAAGCGTGGCGGCTTGATGCTGTCCCGAGGCAGACGTGACATCGCCCTGCTCTCTCGCCGTTGCCATTTGAACATGATTTTTGTACCAGAAAACAAAGAGCGTCAATAGTACAACACGTGGGCGTCTCAGCCTGGGGAAAAAGCGTCTCACGGCCTCAGTGTGGGCTGAGACGTGAGAGAGCTGAGCCGGGAGAGAGACTCCTGACGAGGACACCCCAGAGCCCGGCAACGAAGCACACTTCCAAGCCCCTGTGAGAGCAGAGAGCGGCTCTATCTTGCTGCCTTCTCCTCCTTCACGCCGCGGCGAGGCCGGTCAGCTCGAGACCCGCGGCCCGACGGTCAGCCCCGAGGACCGATGCGACCTACAGCCGAGATCCAGCCGAGATCCAACCGATAGCTCGCTCTCCGGCCGACCTCGAGGCCCGCGGCGACCCGCTGCTCGTAATAGTCGGCATCGAGCCACGCGGGCCGAGGCTGGCCGGCGACGCGCAGCGCCCGCTCCGCCTAGCAGCAGCGCGAGACGGTGAGCGCAGAGAGAGATTGAGGCTGGGGCGATCCCTCGCATCTCTCCGCATCCGGTGCGACCGGCCGGAGCCCCACGGCACACAGAGTGTAGGTGTGCACACAGAGTGCACCCAACGAATTGTGGCCGAGATGTAGCCGAGACGTAGCCGAGGAGGAGCCGGGATGTAGCCGAGAGATGCACGAGGGGCACTCGGGTGCAAACGCCTGCAGCAGCGACTCCTCCGCCCAATCGCCGTACATGTACCTTGTCTCGGAGACGACCCAGTCATTGTTGGCCATGTAGAGCGGCGCACCAGGTCCGAGCGGCTGCAGCGCCGCGAGCCGGTACTCGCCCTCGCTGAGGCCGGACACGCCGCACGCCGCGCCGAGCGAGCCGGACACCTCCGGCGCGTAGTAGACCTTTGTCGGCGCGGTGTACCTGCGTGGTCAAGCCGGGGGGCATACACTCTGGACGTGGCCATATGCACAACCTCTCCCACCCGTTGGCTCCGCGGCCGTGCGGTGTCGACACGGCGTATCAAGCGGTGCATGGCCGGGCGGCCCCCATGGAGACCGGCTATCCCGCATCTGCCCACGCACCCGACGGGAGGGCCAAGCGGCTCCTTTGCGTCCGGCCGCGTCCAGACGCCCACCGCGAGGAGGGACGGCTTCGGCAGCGACGCCGCCTTGACTCCGCGCGCGGTCAGGAGCGGCGAGATCGCCTCGAGCAGCGCCTCGTGCACCAAGTCGAGGGTCGCGCCGGCGGTGGCGCGCGTGGCGACGCCGAGCGGGTCGACGGGCGCGCGAGAGACGGAGCGGAAGAGCGTCTCGTTGGAGACCGAGTAGAAGATCTCGAGGAAACCCGCGCACTCCCGCTCCGCGCCGCCCGCCGCGCCGCGTTCCGCGGCACCCGCCGCGCAGCGCACGGGCCCGTCCGACCAGCGCACGCCGATGGGGACGCCTACAGGAAGGTACAGAGAAGGATCGGACCACGGCCGTCCGACCAGCGCCAGCTCCAGCGTGGTCCCTTCGAGGTTGCGATGGGGAAGAAAGCGTTCTGCGGGTACTCTCCCTCGGTGAGGTTGACGGCGGGCGAGCGCCACCAGGCGGACTCGTACCCGAGGTAGGCCTTGGAGAGGGCGGTGGTGCCGTTGCCAGAGTGGAAGCGCGAAAAAATCTTCCACCCCGCGCCCTTTGGCGAGTCGAATCGGATGCACGACAGCGCCGACTTGACGCGCCCGCCGAGAAGGCTGGCGACGCCGGGCAGTGGCAGGAGCCGCGCACGCGGGACGTTGAGCATGACGACAGCAGGCTCGATCCGCTCGGTCCGGGTGGCGCCGCCCGCCGCGGACTTGATGCGCAGCGCGGGCGCGCCCGCAGCCGCCCCATCGGCCGCCCCTCCGCGAGGCTCGATCCCGACCAGCTCAGCGCCGAGCGTGACAGTTGCTCCGGCAGCGGCGATCTCGCGCGCCATCGCCTCGAGTGCGGTCGCGTAGCCGGCCGGGAGACCTGTCGCCGGGTCAATGATGCGCCGAAGAGGGGCAGAGTAGTTGAATTGGAAGGGCTTGGGCATGTCCTTCTTGGCCGACGGGCAGCCGGGCTCGTAGCAAGCAGTCGGCAGTGCCAGCTTCAGGATCACGTCGCCCGGCAGGTGCATGTCGGGAGAGAAGCGGTACGCGCCGACGTCGAGCGTGAAATTGTGACCGCCGAGCGCCAGGTCCCGGACCGAGTAGGTGCGGCCGCCGAGTCGGCCACTCGCCTCCAGCAGGCAGAGGCCGGACGCGTCGTAGCCGGGCTGGTCGAGCCGCCGCCACGCCCAGTACACACCGGACCAGCCGCCGCCGACGACCACCTCCGAGCAGTGGGAGAGGGACATCGTGCGATGGAGGGGCGGCGCTGGCGGGAGCGGCGCTCCGCGGAGGGACTCGGTCGGCGAACACTCGGGAAAAACTCAACTTTCCTTTCCAAGTCGAATCATCGGGTCGCTCCTCATCGCAAACCCTGTCAGCAGAGACTCGAATGTACGTAAGAGCTACATACACTGAAAAATCACCCGAATACCACGTTCGGATCGCTCCTCATCGCAAACCCTGTCAGCAGTTCACCTACGGGTATGTTCGTAAGAGCTACATACACTGAAAAAGAAAGGCCGCGGCGCCGCCGCGCTGCTACGCGAGCAGGGCGCTCGTTGCTGCTCCGTCTCTTTGTATCTTCCACTGCGTTTATCAGAAGACGCTGCATGAGCAGCACTTGCATGGAGTGCTTACTCCCGCTTCTTTCCTTGTCCTATCCTCATGCCTCCGCGGTGGGCAGGGAGGGAGCACAGGAGCCGCTGGTAGAACTCTACCAGCTTTCTTTGCCGGGCGGTGCCGTCGTACGCGAGTGGGTGGGCAGCGAAGCGGTGGCACATCTCAGGCTGATCCCTGCCGACTCGCTCGCGCCAAATGCTGGCGCAATGGTGCCCATCGGCGCGGCGCACGATCGAGGCCTGCTGCACCGTGGCGTCTGGATCGGTGTTCTACGCGGGCCTGCGACGGCAGCTGAGCTGCTCCTGCTGCAGCGCAGCGATAGGGTCGTAACTTGCCCGACGGCGTGGGGCCTCGTCGGCGAGCACAGCGCGCCGAGCGAGGCGTGGGAGTCCACGGTCCGCCGGGCTGTGAGGGAGGAGCTCGGCGTGGTCGATATCGCCTCGCTGGGCCCTCTGGGCGTGCCGGTCCTCTTCAAGTGCGCCGGCCCGACCCCTCCACACCTGACGCGCACCCCTGCCGCAGCCGCGCGCGCCAGCCCCGTCATCGCCGTCGGAGACTATCACCACAGACCCATCGAGCTCATCTTGTAAATCTTCATCCGTGCGCGCTCGCAGGTCCAACTACTCGCGCGACGGCGGGCTCGGGGGGCGGAGGGACCGCACGAAGCTCGACCTGCAGGTGACTGCGCTGTACTGGGTGCGGCTGGCCGAGGGGGCGGAAACGCGGCTCCGCTTCGACGCGGAGGTTGCGCGCTGGAGGTGGGCGAGCACGGAGGCGGTGCGAGCAATGCTGGCGCGGGAGAGGAGCCGCCTGTGCAACGACAAGATCCGCACACTCTTGGACCACGCGGTGCCTCTCCTCGAGGCGCACCTCGCCGAGGAGGCGGCTGGCAGGCGGCTGGGGCCGGGCGAGCGGAGACGGAGACGTTACAGTGGTGAAGATCGATCGCGTCGGTTGGATGTCTGAGTTGCTGTAGATGCTGCTCTGACGTGCTGATGGTGGGTGCGACACTGACCCGCCCCCCGCGCCTTGCTCTCAGTTCCGGGCGTTTATAGCTTTATACCGGCGTGTTACGATGCGGATGGTGTGTATGTGTCTTGTGTGCGCGAGACAGGCGCGAGAGAGCGAGAGGACGCCGCGGCGCGTACCCGCGAGAGGCGCTACACCGATCGACACATCTCGGTCAAAAAAGAAAAAAAGTGGCGCACAGTTTTTTTGGCGGACCAGGCGGAGTGGTGAGACGCGTGAGAGGCAGAGCCAGAGGGCAGTGGGCAGAGGCGTCCCCGTCCCGCCGTCCTACGGAGTACGGTCCGATATGGACTTTCGCGTTTTCCGTCTCCCGTCATGTAACACGTGAGACTAACACCATAGACTGCAATGCGACTAGAGACGTCCAGAGACCGGAGACCGGACAGCAGCAGCTCAACAGTCTGACTCTCGCTCTCGCGACTCCCGCACAGTCCAACGTCCCTCCACGGCATGCGACATGCTCCCTCGCGTATTTCGTCCCTGAAGACCAGAACCGGAGCACTGCGGCGCGCCCCGTGTCACTCTCTCTTGACACGCCGAACACGCTCACCGCTCGCTCCCGCCAAGCTCCCGGAACTCACGTCTCGCGGTGGCTCCCCCCCCCCCCCCAAAGCGACGTCACAAGCGGCCTGCCTGTCGCCGCGCCGCAGCCTCTCCATCGTCGAGCGGCGGCGGCGAAGGCTTCGGCTTCCGGTTGTAGAGGAGCACCGATGCGAGCACGAGCGACATGCCCTGCAGGAAGGCGCGCGTGGGCCGCGAGCCGTCGAGGACCGACGAAACAACGCACCTGCGCGGGGCGAGGCGAACGGGGGTGGGCGCCGGGCGCCAGGCGGGTGTTCGAGCGGCGAGCGGCCGAGAAGAGAGGGGCGGGCCGTGGGTCGGAAGGCGTGGGTCGGAGGAGGGCGCTGCGCCAGCGTGTGTGCGTGGCGTGCGTGGCGTTCGCACGTGAGGACGATTGCGACGGCGGTGGCGTAGGTCTTGACGATGTTGTCGGCGTACTTGATTACGGCGGCGACGAGCAGCCCGCCGAGCGCGCGCAGCCAGACGACGGACCAGACGGTGGGCGTGAAGCCGACGAAGGGGCCCGAGGCGGCGAGGGCTGCCCTCTCGAGCCCAAAGAGGACAAAGAGGGCCTGCTCACAGCGTGCGGCGGTGACGCCTGGGCGGCTCTCTGTCTCGGAGCGCGCGCTCGGCCGAAGGGGAGGGGAGGGCGGCCTGCGGGATGCCGAAGACGGCGAGCTGCACGTTGCGCACCCACAGCGACGCCTCGCTCGCCTTCATCTTCTTCTCGAGGTAGATGTTCGCGAAGCCTAATTAACTAACTAATTAACTAAGTAGTTAATTAGTCATCTTCTTCTCGCGGTCGATGTTCGCAAAGCCCGAGAGCAGAGACGAGGCGAGCACCGCGCTGATGCCGAGCAGCGGCCGGCCGGCGGACGCGGCGCCCGCCGCGGCGGAGACCGAGTCGGACGCCTGGACGAGCCCCACGCCGGCGCAGAGCAGGGAGAGCGAGAGCCACTGCAGCCGCCGCAGCGCGCCGCCGAGGTAGAGGACGTAGAAGAGAGCCGTTGTCAGCGTCTTGGACTGGGACCAGAGCTGGTACGAGGTGGCGGAGAGGTTGGAGACGGAGACGAAGAAGAGCATGTTCTGGAGGCCGAACAGCAGCGCCGGAAGCCCCATCGCGAGCGTGTCCCGCCACCCCACCACCACCCGCTGCCGCACGTCCGCTAGCATCTGCCGCGGCCCTCCGAGCTGGCGCGAGATGACGGCGAGGCAGACGGGGAGCTTGATGCACTCCGACACGAGGACGGCGGCGGCGCCGAGGTACATCGGCCGCCCCGCCACAGGGATGCGTGACTCGCGCGCCAGCAGCGTGATGACTGTCGTCTGCAGCACGAGCAGCACCAGCACGAGAGCACGGACTCGCTTGCCACCCCTAGGCGCGGCGGCGGCACGGGCGCCGCCGCCCGCCTGCGCCATCGCGCCGCGCAGCCGCGGCGCCGGCGAGCGGCCGCTGCTCAGCTTGAGCGGCATGGGCGGGAGCCGCCGCCGAGCCGCAGGCTGCATTGCGAGCGGCCCAGCGCCAGCACGCGGCGAGTGCGGCGCAGCGTGCCTCGGGCCGGCGCACCGGCCACTGCCGAGCGGCAGCAGGGCGGTGCCGCCATCCGGGAGCAACAGCAGCAGCAAGAGGGGCAGCGGAGGCCTCGCCCCTCGGGCCATTTGGCGAGAAGCCATTGGCCTGGGTCTTTTCTTTTTAATTTTCTCCTTTTCTTCTCGTACCAACTTCGACTCCCCTGATTCGGTCAAGAACAATTGGGTCAAGAACAAGCAACCGCCAAACGGCTTCGGCTCGGAAAAAGAAAAAACCAGCGCGCCAATTGGCGCCGGCCCAAAGTCGGCGGAGCCAAGGCGCCCAACATCGCCAGCCAACACGCCAGCCAGCCATGATTTCAACAGAGCAGCCGCCTCGCCGCACCGGCCTGATCGTGGGAGCCGCCGCCACCACGGCCGCGCTCTTCGTCCTCGGCGTCTTCGTCCACCAGCGCCACTACAACGCGCTGACGCAGATGTCGGACATGACTTCGGCGATGACGGCCTCCGACCCTCTCTCGACGTACTACGGCGGCGCGCGACGCCTCGAGCCTTGTTGCCCAGTGGGCGGGGGCAGTTTAGAGTCCAGCCGCCCATGGAACCTCCGCCCGTTTTGCTCGCTGCGTGCATCCCTCCTCGCCCGCTTTCGCTCGCTCACGTGACCCTCACCCCTCCTTCCGTCAGAGTACCTGGGCGGCTCGAACGTCAAAGGACCCGAGCCCAACGCGACGTTCGGCCCTGCTCCATTCTATCAGTTTGTCGGCGAGTCGGCGATCGTCGGCGCAAAGTACTCGGCGGCGGGCGCCCAGACGGTCGCTGACTTTGCCACCGCCGGCGCGGCCGGAGGCGGGTACAACCCGGTCGAAAACACGGCCAAGCGCTTCTCGGCGCTCTCGCTCACCACCGCCAACGACTATGGCACCCTGGCAATGGGCGGCTCCGTCAAGAACCCGGTGGACGTGTACAACGACTACAACGCGCCGAAGGAGGCGCGGGGCGCGCCTTGCGGTTGACGAGCCCGCGCCTGCGTGCCCTCTCGCAACAATGACGCAGCTATGCGCCGGAGCGGCAGACGTGTTGCCGTGGCCGTCCCTGACACGCGCAAGCCCTACCTCCCGCACAGGAGCGCGGCATCGTCGAGGACGTGCTGGCCGACCCTTCGCACGCGGGCGACATTCTCGTCAAGGCGAGAGATCGCAGAGAGAGGAGGAGAGGTCTGGCCGAGGGGAGGAGACCCGCTCGCTCGCGGCCGACATTCTCCAGGCTCTGGCTCAGTCCCCGGCGGCCGCCGCCGCCGCCACCGCCTCCGCCGCCACCGCCTCCGCCGCCGCCGCCGCCGCCGCCTCCGCCGCCGCCGCCTCCTCCGCCGCCGCCTGCGCCGCCTCCACCTCCGCCTCCGCCTCTGCCGCCGCCGCCGCCGCCGCCGCCGCCCCTCGCGGCGCCTCTCCTTCGACACGGCCGAGAGAGGGTCCGCCCTCTGATCCACAGGCCCTCTGAACACACAGGCCCAGAACGACGCGATGACGCAGATGTCGGGTGCCGCGGCGGCAAAGATGCCGGCGGCGCAGACCGGCGACATGTCTCACGCCGGAGACGCCGTCGTCGCGGCGCGCACTTCCGCACCACACCACTCGCCCTCTCCCCCCCCAGCGCCTCGCTGGTGTGCCACTCCCCCCCGCCCACTCCCCCCCGCCGAGACACGACCCGAGGCACACGACCCGAGGCACATGCTCGAGGTACACGCCGAGGCACAAGCCGATGGCCCTGGCCGCGGCCCTCGCCTGTGGCGACGCAGGCGCAAAACGACGCCATCGCGCAGGCCAAGGGCGCGGCGGCGGCAAAGATGGACGAGCAGGGCGTGCCGTCCGCGCAGGCCGCAGACCTGCCGCACGCGGGGGACAACATCGTCGCGGCGCGCTCTCTCCTCCCCGCCACACACCGCGCCTCGCCCGCCTCGCCCACCCCGCCCGCCCCGCCCGCCTCGCTCGCGTTGGCAGCTGCTCTGCCGCCCCCCCGGTCCGAGACGCGAGAGGCGAGCACTGCCCTCCCGCCACTAGGCCGAGAACGGCGCCGTGGCGCAGGCCGAGGCGGCGGTGGCGGCAAAGCTGCAGGCGTAGGAGGCTGTTGAGGTTGCGGCGGCAGAAGCGGTGAGTGTGAACAAGCGCATGTGCCATGTGTGCCACATGCATGTACGTGTGACCGTCGTGCGAAAGTTCTCGTGTTCCGCTGCGGCGCATGGGTGATGCTCCGATAAACCCTCCGGATCTTCGCATTCCTGGATAAAGCAGACACCAGACCTCGGTTTCCCATAGGGTTTCTGCTGCGGTTTCCCATGGCGGTTTCCCATAGCCGAAACCCCACGGGTCGGTCGGTTTCTGCCGCGCGCTGTGTTTTTTCTCGGGGATCTGTTTTCTGGGACACCCGCCTCGATTTCCCGTGGGATCTGCCTGTGTTGACCCCAGTCAAGGTTATGGGAGCGGCCATAACAGGTGTTATGGCTGTTATGGCTGGCTGCTCATAACACCTCATAACACCTCATAACACCTCATAACACATCCATCGCTGTTATGGCTGTTATGCCCACCCTACCATGACACCTCATAACACCTCATAACACCTCATAACACTCATAACACATCCCACTGGTTGTTATGACAGCCAGCATAACAACCTCATAACAGCTGTTATGTGTCCCACGGATTTTTCTTTTGGAGCCCCGCCGCGCGTATCCCGGCGTTCGCCGGTAAATTCTTCTTTCGCACAACACTGGGCACGGGTAAGATTCTTCTTTCGGAAATTGTAAAATTCTTCTTTCGGAGCGCCCGCCAACCATGGCCTACCGGATGAAGATGTTCAAGAGCCAGAAGCCCTCGTCGGTTGACCTGCGTGACCTGCGCGTCTCCGACTTCAAGAGGGTTCCCGGCTTCAACTATGTGTCGGCGGAGGACGAGCACACGGACAACTCGCTGTGTGCTCTGACATCCGAGAGGCGTGGGCCATCAACGCGTCAAACGGCCTGCAAATCTACGCGTTTCCCGAGGGATCGAAGGACGAGTCGGCGACGTGTTGACGCCGAAAATGTTTCAGAGCGTCATGTCCGTTTGGTGTGCCCGGCCATCCGACCTCGGCTCGGACATGTGGCTAGCCGTCGTCGAGATTCCGAGCAAGCAGCAGAACGCGCCCCTGTTCGGCACGTTGGAAGTGGCGGCTCCGCTGAGCGCGTGTTATTGAATTTAACTTGAGGGCAAAAGAGAAAATATTTGGCGATCGATGCCGACCGAACCTCGCGCGCGGGACCTGTTCCTTTTTACCCATCTCACAGTAGAGGTGTCCGTTTTTATTTACTCGCGCGCGGCAGCGCGCGAAACGAAATTCCAGCGGCGAGCAGTTCGGTGTGGCCTCGCTTGCGTCTCGGGCCATAAGAACGAGGGTATGGGACGGGTTTCTCCAAGTCTGCACAAAATAGGGTCATCCAGGGCTCATGGTAGTGATGTGGTGGGATGGCTCACAGCCCATAACAACCCATAACATGTTATGGGCTGCTATGCCCCGAGAGCCATAACACCATAACAATAACTGCGCCTGGGGACAACCTGTGGGTCTGGTTTCTGCGGTGTGAAGACATCTCCCGCCTCGTCCTAATGAGCTCATTCCGGCCAATGAACAGGTGTACCCCCGTCCGAACCCGGGGGTATCGAGCACGAAATCACAGAGAGAAAGAACATTCTACATTGCGCCGTGACGCGATATGTTATCTGGGATCTGCTTTTTCGGGCCCCGATGGCGAGCTGGCTCGACGATCTCGGTCTCAACGAGCTCGAACACATCAAGGATGGCGCAAGTGCCTTCGCGCAGGAGCTCCACCCAATCAACTCGGCGGAGGATTTCATCAGCTTTGTGGTTGCGCTCAACCTCTACTGTCGCAGGAGGTGGTGGAGAATGACCTCCAGACTGACCCGGAGAATCACCTCCACCCAGCCCCACTTCAGCACCCCTATTATCACACTCTCCCCCCCCCCACAGTGATGAATAGTCTACCTATCTCCCTATATTCCCACACCCTGTGCAGTGGCACGTCTTTGCCACCCAGACCCCTAATATTAGGCACCTTGGGCGCCGAACAGGCGCCCAAGTATTGCCACGTAATAGCTCCCTCAACTCTCGAGGCGTCGTCATGACTCATGTGACACCTTGAGCAGTCACCCCGCTGAGGCTGAGCCCCAGCATTCATTCCCGGTGTTGTACGACACCATTCCCTTAAACCACTCGGATACGAGTTCCTTATACCAATCCTACAGCCGTCTGCCGGGTGCACCCGGACCCCCCCGGAGGGGCCCGGGAAGGGTCTAGCGGCCCTCCAGCGGCCCCCAACGCCCCCCCCGCGGCCCTGTTTTCGTAGTGTATCACTATGTTATGTCACTATCATACCCACGACCCAGGGTACCCGAGCGTTCCCGAGCAGCTACAAGGTCGAGCCGCTGGAATGCCTCCTCCAGTGGCACCCAGTCGCGCTCGAGGTACGGGAGGAGCTTCGCCTTGCAGCTGTAATACAGTTTCTCGAAGCAGGCTGCCCGAGCCTGCAGAATGGCACACTCGTGGCACTTGTCCTCGTGGGCGAGCTGAATCCCGTAAACGTCCCGCATATCATCGAATTGCGCCTCGTTCAGGCCGGCGTCGATCATCCGACGGGTCACCCGGCGTTCGAAGACGCTTTCCCGATCGCTGTCCGAAGACGCGTCGTCGGGACGGGAGTCGCTGGCAGGCAGGTCCTCGACCGCCGGCTCCTCCTCGACCGCGGGCTCCTCTGGCGTCGGCACGTCCTGCAACGTTCTGGAACGACAGCGAGAAGCGCCTCCGCGCCCGCCTGCCGCCGCTTGCACTTGCCCAACTCCTTGTCCACGCCGCTCGCGTGTGTCTCGAGCCGCTTGCCGTACACGACCGCCTGCTCGAGTCGCGCGCCCGCCAGCTCGCCGCGTAGGTCCCACACAAGGTACGCCAGCGCAGCCTTCTTCAGGTTCTTTATCTGGAGAGCCATCAGCGCGCCGCGCCGCTGCGACAAAAAGAGCGTGTTTACGGCAGCTTTCGCGGCGATGATGATGCCGTTGGTGACCTCGCCGACGATGCTGACCTCGTTGGAGGGTGCGGGGACGGGATGGTTGCCGAGGAGCATGGTCTCGAGGCGATTTAAGAGCGCGGTGGGCTCCAAGGCGAGCTGCGCCGAACTGGAGCGAGTCGGCCGCGCCCGAATTGCTGACGCCGCATCGGCGCCGGTCGAGTCCGACACGACCGCGGTCTTCTCCACCGGCTCGAGGTTCGCCATCCGCGGCGCTGCACCGCGGATTCGAACGGCTGCTCGCTCCTGCTCGGCGGCTGGCCAGTCAGCCGGGCGCTTCGAGAGGGCGGTCGCCGTCGGTGCACATCGACGATCATGGCGAGCGAGCAGCCCCGCACCAGTGAGTGGATGCAGCCCACCGGAGGTACTCTGGGCCGGCGCGGGGGGCCCAGAGGGTGTCCATGCGGGGGGGAGATGGGGTCCCATGGCCCGCCGCAGGCGCCGATTTTTTGGCGTTTTTTCTTTTTTCGCGATTTTTTACTTGTTTTCATGGGAATCGGCGTACTTGCGGCCATGCTATCACGCCTTGCGACAGCCTGTCGGCGCAGCTGACCGTGCCATGATGCACAATTGATCACCTGCATAGCTCGCGGCCTTAGTATTAAGCATTCAGTGACGACCTGATCGTACGGCCAGTAGGAAGGTGTCCTTCCAGCTGCGTGCACGCTTCTGGCGCAATGCGCGTCACCTCGGATGGGCTGCTGGCACTCTCGAGGCTATGCCTACACAGCCTCGCGCGCATGGGCAGTCAAGAGGGACCACGCACCTTCTCAGGACAGCGCCGGTGCCTCTCTCTTGGACCGGCAAACTTGGTGGTCTCGTGTCACCAATGTGGGACCAGTGCGGCATCGCGCCATCGACAGCTCTGAACTGCGCCTCACCACTGACCGGGAAGGCCGCCAAGTGGGCCAGCACAGGTCGCACATTGTGGCAGCAGTCAGCAGTGCATGGCTGATAGCTAGAGCAGCAGCGTCAGGGTCGCAGGGTCGGATCGTGTCAAGCCTCTCGCCCGGCCGGCCGCGTGCAGACGTCGGCCTGTCTGCTGTCTGCAGTGATCTGTCGGCGGTCAGTACGACCGATCAGGTCGGAGTTTTCTGATGGTTGGAGGGTCTATCTGTATGTACTCCTCGAGATCTCTCCAAATCTGCCCTCTGTTAGACCGGGTTAGATCGGGAAGTCGGTGCTCATAGAGACTCATAGAGCCGGAGCCCCGTTTCCGCACTGCTGCGCGGCGCACGGTGTGGGCCGGGGGCCCCCGCGCCGGCCCAGAGCGGAGGTACTGTCTGAGGTGGGGCCCGGCGCGTGAGGCTCGTCGGCGTCCGCCATCACCGCCTGCGGCCACTGCAGAGTCGGCCAAACCAGGCTCGATTTTGGCCATTTTGGCACGGACCTTGCGGACTCTTCACAGCTGGGTCCCGGTGCACCCGGTGAGACGGCACCCGGATCGAGGATGGCTTTAGCCTTTACAGCCTCACCCGCGATCAGCAATACCGCAGAGCCGTGCACGTGGCTCCCCACTCACACTTGCTGGGCACCAACCTTTGGGTCCAGATGACGATCCCTCTACAAACGAGGCAAGAGGGACGCCTCGCGATACTACGGAGGGCCTCGACCAGGACACTTGCTGGTCAGACCACCCCGATCCCTACCACACCACGTTGGGAGGGCTGCTAGCCAGCAACAGCGAGCCCAAGGGCGACATCGATGTACTTGAGAAGTCATCGTCGCCTGACTCCGTTGGGGAGGGGGCTATGCCAGCTGAAAAGCCTTCTGCCGGGCTGCCGGCGAGCTCTGGGGCAGCTCTCCTCCGACGGAAGTCTCACCAAACCCGGAAGGGATTGGCTTGACCGTGGCAGCGATCAAGCCAGCTGCAGTGAATTCGCAGCAGGATGTGAGTATCACGCAACAACGGTACGAAATCAACAGAACTTGGACGAACATCCGACGAGGCTTGGGGCGTACAGGAACCTGCCCAGAACCTCGGTGTATCACCTTCACCATCGCCTCTGCTGGCCGCCGCAGGGCAGCCACCAGCACCAGTGCCGCTGCCGCAGTCAGGCGCGCCCGGTGCGCGCAACTATCTCGACATCATTCGATCACCAGCGCCTACGCGACTGAGCTCCCCTGCTCTGCCGTCTGCCTTGCCGCCTGTCGAGCTGCCCAGCCTTCAGTCCGCCGTCTCGTGCGACCCTCCCTTCGGTGTCGTGGCCGAGGCTGCTGCCACTGGCAAGCCAGACAACTCTAATGCCCGTCCCTGGATCGCGCTTCTGTGTACGTTGCCGTCCCTTTGCGGCGCGTCGCACCGACCAAACCGCGGAGCTGGAGCCGGGCAATCAATCGACGGTCACTGTCGACTTGTCCGCGAGCGAAGGGCTCGCAGCCGCGTTCAATCTCCGCCTCGCAAAGCGACGCGACGGGCTGCGTGACAGGCGTCCACCAAAGACTCCCGTGTCTGCGAGCCCTGCGACGACGAGGCGATCTGTGAGCCATGCGCCGAGGAGTCGGCTGCCGTGCCTCCTGGACATGTCTTTGACTTTCGCATGCTCTACACTCTCCCACATGTCGAGGCGATCGAGTCCTCGATCCCTGACGCCGGTGCTGGCCTCGGCACGAAGAAGGCGTTTTCCGAGGGAGAGGTTGTAGTTCACATCATCACATGGAGCACCAGACAGCAGTCAGTAGAGAGCTCCACCCCTCTGCTGGGGCTCGCCGGTCGTAGGACGGCGCCCCACCAGCGCCCGACCGGGGCACCCGCGCGGACAGGGAGAGCGATGCATGCACTGATGCCTTAGCTGGCGTCGCGTTAGGAGGGGGGGATCGGGCGCGATGTGCGTGACCACAGCCGCTGCACCCTTGCGCGACGTAGTGTCGCTTGTGTGCAGTCGTGTGACGTGTGTCGAGATGCGCGAATCGTGCCTGCCCTGTGTTCATGCCATATGTGCTTGCCATGTCCATCCCATGTGTCGGCTGCGCCTAGCTGCGCCTTTACGCTTTAGGAAGAGGTGGCGATGGAGAGGGCGAGCTGGACGAGCTGGATGAGGGCCGGCCGTGTGGAACGCGAGACTGGCACCGGCTGCACGCCGGGGTCTCGAGTCAGGCCGAGGTTGTCGTATGTCGGTTGTTGTCGGATGTCGGCGATGGTTGACGGCACTGCACGTGCCGGGTACCGATCCATCAACGGGTCACCACGTTTGATTGCGGGAGGACGAGGGCTCCCACTCGCGCCCGGCGGCGCGCGGAGGAGGCCGAGAGTATAGGCCAAGTATACAAACAAGAGCAGAAAGCGAGCAACTACGATTGAGACGCCGCACAGAAAGCGAACCCGCGTGACACAATCGAGGGAAGAAACTCATGTGAGACAGAGAGTCACGCGGGACAGGAGAGTAAAGTGCCAAGGGGGCACCACAGAGAGCAGTTACTATCTCCGCATTCCAACGCTCCTGGCGGCGACGGCGGCCGCGTCCGCCGTTGCCACGCGCAAGCTGGCGGGGGGCGGGGGGCGGGGAGGAGCGGGCGGCGCGCTCGGGGAGCCGATGCTGGGAGAGGGCGGCGAGAGGGTGTGAGAGGGGGCGCCGACCTGTGGACACGGCTTCTTGTAGCCGGGCGCTGCGGAAGCTGTCCACTCTCTCTCTGGGCGGGCAAATACCCAAAAAGGCAGCAAAAGTGCATACCCACTGACAGGCTCGAACTGCCGACATTCGCGTTATTGGCACGACGCTCTAACCAACTGAGCTAAGCGGGCGCTGGATGATGAACGCAGAAGTGGAGTGGCGGTACATATTCGCAAAAAGTTGACCTCAATAGGTGTGAAGGTGAGGTGTGAGGGTGAGTGTCATAGATTAAAGTAGTTTGGGGGTTGGAAGGTGTGAAGGTGAGGTGTGAGGGTGAGTGTTATAGTTCAAAGTAGTTTGGGGGGTGGCTTTATTGGGGTATTCCGATCGTCGCCCTACTCCGTTAGCGTCAGCTGCCCCTGGCCTCCTTCATTCTGCCATCCGCTGCGGGCCCACGCCAACGCTGCCTGTCGGCCCTCTCCTCCGGGGCACCGAGGGGGGGGGGGGCCTAGGGGGAGAGAAGGCCCCGACCTAGCTGCCGAGGCGCCAGCCGAGGCTGCCCTAGAGGCTACCACACCAAAGGCCGAGACGACAACCAAGGCCACTACCCGGAGAGCCGAGGCGACAGCCAAAGCCCCAGCCGACGCTGCCACGCGCAAGCCCTAATACAACATCAATACCATCATCTATCAAAACACACACAACCAACCCCTTCATCCCAACCCAAAAATCAATTATGACTCACCCTGCCATCAGACAGATATTCCACCACCTCAACTTCACTCCCCAACTTCACTTTCCCTTACTCCTGATATCTCCGCGATGTACCGCACGTCGCACACCATGCGGAGTATTGGGGCCGGTACTCGGGGTCGGGGTCTGAGTCCGTCGCGCGGCTCGCGCCTCCTCCAGTGAGGTTGAACGTGTCTCGACCGACGCGGTTTATCATCCTCGTTTAGTATATGTATACATAGTCGAACCCTCCGCCGGACACGTGCCAGTCAGAGGCAGCGCCCCTCCCTGTGCGCAAACCTTCGACCCCCAACCCACGTGCGCCGGCCCTCTGCCACACCGCTCCGTCCTGACTCCGTCACTGTAGTCCGTAGAGCAAGAGCGTTGGACCGATTGAGACTGAGTGTGCTGGGTGGTGCCACCACGAGGCTGTGAGCCCACCTGAGGTTCTGAGCTATGAAAGTGTGGCTGAGTTGAACTCTCGTAAACCTCTCATGAGTCGGCAGCACTGCGCCTGAGCATCCAACGGTGATCTGGCGCAGGGGGAGGGTGACAACCCGCCGCCCTCAGTTGCATCTGGTCTGATGCGCCTGACCCATCCTAAGACTGCCGGGGAGCCCTCCCTTCTGCGGTGCGTGCGGAAGAGGATAGCACGTAGTGTAGCCACTCGCTTCCTGTGCACCCTCGGCCTCACGAGCCGTTTTCTGTCGTCTCCCTCAATCAGAGCCGATTGTGCAACTCACAGCGTTCATCGGCGTGACCTTGGCAGGTGAAGAGAACTGCATCCGCACTGCACACGCACCAGAGGCGTCTCAACCCGTGTCCGCCACTAACTCGGATGCCGAAGGCGAAGCAGCTCGGCCGTGAGCACCAGAGGGTTATGCTCTTATAACCAGTCGAGAATGCGGCCCCAAGAGCACGGTCGGCCCAATTGGCTATTGCGCATGCAAATGGGCGTGGAAGCGCGGAGGCCGGGCAGGCTCGCTTGAACCGGCCGCCATCGCGGCAAACTCCGTGGTCGCTAAAAAATATTAAATTTAAACGAAGGAGTAACCCCGCCCTTCACTGCCAGGA